TGGCAGCCAGGAGTCATCCGAAGCTGGATACCCTTTCCATTGTACTCAATACAGTGTTTGCTTGCCAACTGTCTTCGAATCAATGATACATTCAATTTCAAACTCCTCCTGGTTCTTAATTAGTTCTGGTGGAGGTCGGAGGTAGTTCTTCCCATGCATTGTTGTTTCTGAGTAAGGATATAGTAGTCCTGCATGGAACACAGGATGAATCTTCCATTTGGGTGGTAGCTTCAGCCGATAAACCACTGATGACAGTTTCTGATTGATGGTGAAGGGTCCATAACACTTTGGTCCAAGTTTGGCTTTTGGGTGAAGGCCTTTGAGGTTGGTTGCTTCCAGCCATACCTTCTGTCCAGGTGTGTATTTAACAAACTTGTCCTTGTTCTGCTTCTTGACTGTTTCTTCTGCTAGTTGAATACTGGATTGGATCTCTGTGCGAAGATGTGCTAGCTGGGTGAGTCTAGAAGCAATGTCTGGTGCATCAGTTGTTCCCACAGTGGGAATAGTATGCCGAGGTTGGTAACCCATGAGCGCTTGGAAGGGAGACATCTTGATTGCATCATGATATCTATTGTTGTGCGTGAATTCCACTAGCAGTAGATGGTGTGTCCAGTCTGTTACACAGTGATTGCAAAAGATCTAAAGGTACAATTCCAGATCTTAATTGACACGTTCTGACTGTCTATCAGTTTGAGGGTGAAACATGCTAGAGATGTTCTGTTTGATGCCTAGTTTAGTGCATAGTTCCCTAAACATTCATGATGTGAACTGTGGTCCTCTGTCGGATATAGCTTTGACAGGTAGTCCAAATCGTCAGAAAACATGGTTCTGGTACAAGGTAGCAGTTTCAGATGCTGTAACTGTCTTGTTGCAGGGTATGAATACCAAGGCCTTGGTACAGTCATGATCTGTTACTACCAGACAGCTGCCAAAGCCTTCACTCCGAGGAAGATCCGTGATGAAGTCCATTGCGATGGATTGGAATGGAAGATGATGTTCCGTTGAGATGGGTACTAGATCTGGTGAGTTCCTATGTGTGATGACCTTGTTTTCTTGGCAAGTTGCGCAGCCAGTGACGTATTCACTGATATTGCGTGCAAGAGTGGGCCACCAATAGGTTCTTTGAAGGATCTCCTGAGTCTTGTATTGCCCAGGATGTCCTGTGGTAGGGGAATTGTGGGCTTCTTGGATGAGATCTTGTCAAAGTTTGGTGTCTTTGGGTATGTAGACTCGGCCTCTGAATACTAGTAGATCATCTTGAATATCCCAATTTGGGGGAGTGTGCTTGTCAGTGGATGAAGTGTGCTGTAATGCAAACCAAAGACCATGATCAGCGATGCTGTCCTTTGTTCTGCAGGTCAAGATGTGTTGTTTGATGTCAGTATTGATGGGTTCAAGATTCTGAATGGCTTGAATGAAGACTTCTGATGGAAGAAGGATTTCTTCCAC